AAAAGATTAATTGAATTGAATACAGGTTGTAAAACACTGATGTTTTGTTAACACCGATGATTACAAACGCAAAACCTAAAAGGTTCTTAAAAGAAGGAAAAATAACTGCAAGTGAAAAAGAATTTATGTTTCCTACCGCTGAGCAGTTCCCAGGCTTAATTGCTTGCCTAAAATGCACAAACCCGATTAGTGAAATATTGTGAGCTTCCAGCATGAAATATCATTGTAGTTGGTCTGTTGATGACTTTTAATGAGTAGATAACACAGTTCCTTTTTGTACACTGCAAAGCTTTTATTTAGCATTAACTACTCTACAGTACATATTTACAATTGACTAACTCTGGGTTTCTCAGATGTTAAAGAACCTTTAGAGTGGAGTCAGCTCTTAATCTACTTCTACTATTCTCTCTCTTTCTGATATCCTCTGTGTCAGTGAAGTGGGGTGTTTGCCTATATTATACTCAAGGTACTGGGGGTGTGTCTAGATTTAAGTCACCCCATACTTTTAGAGTTTCTGATTGGACCATAGAGAAATTCTTTCTCTATGATTTAATAGCTTTTTTACTAAAAAGTTGCTAATAAGGATATATTACAAACTTCATGACAGCTTAAAAAATTTCAATCATAGATTCATAGTGTGTGAAAGGCCAAGTCCAATTCACTAGGGTGAAGTTATAAATGACCAAATTGTATGATAGATTATCTGTATATTCAGGTAGACTATTCAAGCTGTCAAGTCAATTTAAGACATTTAACAGATGAAGGGGTATAGATGATGATGATAATTCAAATAGTTATATAAGTTAATATTATTGAAACTTAATACTACATTACATTAGCCTCTCAGGCCCACTGTCGACAACAAAAATACAATTTGCTATAATGTTGCATGCCATCTAGCCAATATTTTGAAACTACTCTACTGTACATATCAATGATGACACCTCATCAATTGAAACTTTCATTCATTTGATGTGGTATCTTCATAAACCAAGACTTTTGTCACCGTGGCTTTAATAGTAGTGAAAGGTTGTCTTACAGCTGATGCAACCTTGAAAGAGAGAACTAAACTAAATGTAGATAACATCATTGAACTCTAGAATTTCTAGTAACCGCAACCTACATGTACTTCTCATTCAATGGCAAAATGTACAAACAAATTGAATGTACTGTATGGCGATGGGCAGCCCACTCAACCATATAATGGCCAACCTGTACCTAGAATGATTAGAGCAACATGCAATAAATACAACACCACATAAAATCAAGCCTTCTGGAAACAGTATGTCCATGAAGTATTGGCTATCATTCCCAAAGGTACTTCACAAACACTAAACATGTATTTAAACAATCGATGCTAAGAACACCAAATTCACCACTCATGGACGACAACAAAATATTCTTATACATGTTCATAACACTCGATGGAACAGTTATTACATCTGTATTTTGGAAGCTCACTCACACCAATTAACATCAACATTTTAATTCACATCATCCACTCGAACATACTATTTACGCGTAAAGTGCGTCCTGCACTGTTCGAAAATCCTAGCTAAGGCAATGTGTGCTATATAAATATAACATTATTATTATTGATTGTAAAGATAAGATAAGATAAGATACATTTATTGCTCTAAGTAGGAAATTCAGTTCTCGCATTAAAATACAATTGACAGCAAAAAATTAAAACAATGATCAAATATAATAAACTATAATAATTACAATGTAAAAGAGGTCAAACAGTGACCATTAAAACATTAAAAGTCACCAAAACATTATTATTATCATTACTATTATTATTATTATTATTACAGTTACTACCGTTTTTCATTTTCATCATCATTATTATAATTCATCTTTTAAATGTTTTGTTAAAAACTCTTACACCTTGGGGAAGGAATGAGGAAGAATAGCGGCATGTGCGCGCTGCCTCAGTCTAATATTCATCGAAGCATTATATAGAAAAGTCATTACCTCCACCTATCCAATTTTTGTTCCAACAAATTTACTTCTCAATTTCCAAGTACAGTATAAGACAGTATTTAATTACTGACTTATCAGTAGATGAAGACTCAGTCGGTTTTGCAGCTATAGTCAATAATAATAGCCTTAATGCATCAGGCTTCCCCAATATGGAGAAACATTTCTATTTTTCATTAAGTGTACACCTTCTGCGATTTAGAGAACACATCACTCTTTAAAAAAAATAACCATGTCTTCTTTTTTTGCTTTTTTTACTTTTACTGTTCCTGTCCCATGTTGTTAGGTTTCGTTGTTTTTTTAATGTATATCAGATTTTATATTGATTTTTATTATGTATTTTTAATGTTATAAATATATCATATAATAATATCCAAATTAGAGTACCTTCAACAGTGACAGTAAACCTGCAGCGATCATTGAAGTTACCACTTGAATCTGTTGCATTGTACTGCACTGTTGTGTCACCAATCACAAACATATTGTCACCAGAGGTGTAATCAGACTCTGGTTCTGGTGTCTCTCCAGAATTATCAGTAGCTGTTGGCTCCGTCCATGTGACGTTGATAGCAACTGGTTCCCCATTTGTTGTGTTAACTGTTATATTCATTGGACAATCTACAATCTCAGGGTTCTCTTGATCTTTGAAAAAAAATTGGTAAATTAAACTGAAAATATCATCTTAGAAACATTGTATTTTAGCCTAACAACAAGCCCTGATAAACAACAATACAATAACATTGCTACAATCTATAGTAATGTGATCAAATATCGTAATTGTAGACTTTTGAACTTATAGGATGAGGAATTTGCTTCCACATCGGAATAATTTGATTAAAGGAGAATCTTTTTTAAATTTCAGTTTTTGTGAACAAATTGAGACCGGAATGTGAAGAAACAAGGGAGTCATTAAGTGCAATAACAACTATCAAAATCCAAATCATAATACCCATGTATTAGTGCAAGTCAGGCTATATGCTATGTGTCAGAGATCTGGGAAGCTAGTAACCTGTCTCTTATACACATCTAGTCCTTGGTACCTTGAATGTATTATTTTTTATATATTTTCAAATACTATAATTTCCCATGGTATTTATTTCTCAACATTGTTATGTATTGTGTTTAACAAAATACTTTTAAACCACTAATTAATTACTACGTTTAGCACGTATTTTACGACACCATAACTTAGTAGGGCCTATTAGCCTACCCTCAATTTGTATTGTGACATAGCATGTAGCTTCATTTCCTGTGGGAGATCCATTGTCAGTGAAGATGTATTCAACTATAGTTTCTCCAATTGGAAATACACCAATAGTGACAGTAACATCATAAGCTGCATCAATTGTCATGCTATCTGGATCAATGTCTGTATAGTTGGTTGAGAACATGGCAACTTGAACATTATCAGTGACATTAAGGTTGTAGCTGACGGTGCCATTTGGTTTTCCCTCATCAGTCACACCAGTAACTAGTGATGGACAACTTGGAACAGGTGGTTCTTTGTCTGGAAATAAGAATATTTTTAATAACAGACGTATTCGACAATCATAACTGGCGGCGGCAGCAGCAGCAATAAAAATAATAATAAATGTTCAGAAAAGTGTGATTCTGAACACAGCAAGAATCCTCAGGAAGGTCCTAGAAGTTTCACCAAGCTTCAGGAATAATGTAATTCCATTGGATATTGATCCAATGTGCGATACCAATAATAGTAATAATACGGTAACTAGAATATACCCGTGCTCCACACGGTGTTGATTGAGTGGGGAAAGGTGGCGATGTTGTACATTGTTGAATAGGGAAGTTGAGGAGGCAATCGTTGTGGATGTTATGGTTACCATGTCATTATTTTTCTAAAGGACGTCTTTGTAGTTAAAGTTTCGAGTGTCTTTGCTGAATAGTCCTTGTGAAAAATTTATTGTGCAGTGTGATCAAGGGTGGATCCAGAATGTTTCAAACGGGTGTTATATAGTATTAAGATAACTTACAAATATAGGCCGAATCAATTATACCATTGGACTGAACATTTACTTCACTACCCCATAACTTCACTAACCCAGTGGGCATCTGTTAAATGTCTCCTTAACTATTGTATATGAAGTCTTTGACAGGAAAATAGCCAATTCATGACAAAAAGCCCAAGTGGTCAACTCCTTGCATTTGATTTATAAAATAAGCTCAGTTGAGAGACAGCTTGTCAGTAAATATAAGTTCACTTTTATCCCCAAAGTTTTTATAGTATCTAACCAATAGAAACTCCCCAAAATGATGTAATGGTCAAATGATTTGGATAAGGTGATATCTTTCAACCAATCAGAAGAAGTCCACCACATCCCAACTTGGTATCAAAAGTAAAGTATTAGTTATACTACTGTACTAGACTTCCTTCTGATACTTTTGAAGGCAACACCACGTCAAACGGGGTCAGTGCATTTGTCCGAAGGTCCTTTGGTCCGAAAGGCCTTTGGTCCGAAGGTCCGTTGGTCCGAAAGGACATTGATCCGAAGGTCCGTTGGTCCGAAGTAATTAGTTCAAATATAGACAAAAATGTATTTGAAGAAAACACATGTTCGCGACCACCATGTAGGTCTATATTGGTTAACAATATACAATTATTGCTAGCATGACTTGTCAGCTTAGTTTATGTATATTTTTTTACAAAGTATTAGAAATTGAAAAGATTCCAAGCGAATGGTGCTTAAGTATATAACTTCCTAATGTTTAAGCAGAAGACAGAAAAGATTTTAATAACAATAGGGAATTCAAGTAACTTCCTTCCGGCGTTTGAAAAATCTTAACAGATTTATTTACTTATGGGCAATGGGAAACAGTTAAGTACTTTCTCACTTTTACAAAGTAGATACATTGACAGTGGTGGCGAAAGCATCTAGGGTGAGGGGGTGGGGGAGGAAATGAAGGGCAAGGTATGATTTTTTTTGGGGGGGGGGACAAGTTCCCCGACGAGTTAGCATGGTCGGGTGTCAATTAAAAATGTTTCAAAAGTGGTCCATGGTGTTATTCAATCGATTCTAAATAGATAGTCTACTAATATGAAATTTTTTTTTCTTCTTCCCGACGAATTGTGTTTTTTTTTCTACTCTTCTTGGGGGGGGGGGAGCAACAAATTTTCTAGGGGGAATTTCCCCCCCCCTTTTTTTTTCCGTGTAGTGCCGCCACTGCACATTCAAAGCAAATAAAAGAAGCACTAGACACGATTCGTATCATAGTACATTGAGTTTTAATTAATAATACTACTGGTAATAGTTCAAATGAAATTCTTACTGGGAACATCTCCCTATGCACGATCGAGACAGGAATTTTATTGATGTGAGCCAGATTTTCGTAGATTTCGCAAAATGAAGGAAATATATATTTTTTTTTTAGATGAGGCAGTGAAAATGGATGCGGGAGGTGACAAGAAAATAGTATTTTTTCTTTTTTTACTTGGCCTTTTTGTTGTTTGGGAAAATATTTGGGAATATTTTTTTAGGAAAGTGATCTTTCCTAATTTACTCCACAAATTGTAAAGAATTGTTTTACTGCCATATAACCTGCATACCTGGAAAATTTCGGACCAACGGGCCTTTCTTGTAAATATTGTACGTACAGTTTGTGTAGTGTTGTAGTATAGAGAATAAACAGAAACAGTTTGTCTCCGAGTCAGTTTACAAGTACAAGTACCTCCATAGCAAAGTTTGATAGTGAGCGAGTGAGAGAAGAAAGACAAACTCCGCTAACACTACATAGTGGACAACTATAATATAGACCTAAAGAACAATTATAATATTACATGGGGGCGGGGAAGCACACAACAGTTTCAGAATAATTTAATAAGCGAATAGCACATACATGCTGCATTGAAATTTTTAAAAAATTAGTGGTAAAACGGGGTGGGAGCCCTTCCCTGTGACGTCCATATCCCCTACTGGATCTTTCTGTTGTTTTGGGCTACCCTCTTGTAAGTGAAAGCACAGCAATATACAGTAGGCCTAGCCTATTTGGGCATAAGAGAAGTGTTTCTCTTGAATCAAGGTGGATGCATGTAAGGCTATGTATCCGAACCACTGACATTCAAAAGTAGATAAACATTGTCCCGAACCGAAATGCAACGTAAATTTGAGGTATTGATTGGTGGAGCTGGCTTGACCCTAAACTAAACTTTAGTGTCGCTATCTATCTTAATGAACTATCCAAATCGACCCGGATTCAAAAGATAGAGGATAGGCCCTATAGGTATGCTAACTAAACTGAACCTAGGCCCATAGGTCTAGGCCTGCCAAGATCATTTCGGTCGCGCTTCGTTTCGGCCGCGCTTCATTTCGGTCGCAGTTTGTTTTCAACAAATACAGTATATGGAGTGCCAATGGAGTTGTGAAAATGCCAAATTTAATATAACTAGGCCTAATTATCATTGTAAGTTCGTCAATCGGTTTATCATACTTTTTTTTAAATTTATGTTTTGTTGTCTTTCCACTAAGTAACAACATAGGCTACTTAAAAGCAAATAAAATTAAAAATTTCAAGTGAAGAATGATAATGTGTGTATTATTCGTTTATTTCTTTAATTGTGTTTCCTTCAATTCTCTTGGTATGTTTTATTCAAACTCTGGAAGCTGCGAGAAAAATTAATTTATTGTATAAAAAGATCGGATTAAATATTGTAATTATTATTATATAATTAATGCTTGGGGTACACCACGTAGATAGTTCTGAAAAGAACTGTTGTTGTTGGTTGAGAATATCTCGACGTTTCGGTTGACTTGCTTCAACCGTCTTCAGGAGAATAATATCTGCAGATATCTCAAACAGGGAAATACTTATATGTTTGAGTGATGAGACTTGCTGCTGATTGGTTGAAAACTAAACAAAGGCTGAGCCTACCAGTGAAAAGCTATACAAAAGCTAAAATTCAAGGTCTGAATAGAAGGGCAGGGCTTGGCTAGAAAGCCAAGACAGTGGCATTGTTCTAGCTGGGGGAAGGAAAGCCAAAAACAATGGCATAGTTTCCAGTGTAGAAGGAAAGATTTGGCGGGAAAAATTTGGTTTAGGTCCGGTTAAACTTGGACAAACAAATATAGCTGATGACAAATCCAATATCTTTAGTCTGGTTGTAAAACTGCTGAAATGAACTTTAGCGGGAAAAAAGTAAAGGAAAATTAATTTTTGGTTTTTCTGAATCAGCATACTCTATAGTGTCTCAGAAAAAAAATCCCCATGCCTGGGGCTTGGGCAATTTTTTTTACAGCACTTTGAAATTTGGACTTAAAATACCCTATTTTAAACTATTTAAGATGGGGGTAGGGGAAATAAATTTATGTTTTTGGTCACTTTTACATATACTGTGGATATGAAATGTAACAAAAACTTAGCTAAATGGTTACTCATCACTCTTGATGATGATGATGAATGATGAGAATCATCCCTCTCATCCTCACCCTTGTCCTTATCTTCATTCTCGTTCTTCTCATCTTCATCATCCTCATGATGATGGTAGTGACTGATGAAGGGGATAATGATGAAAATGATGATGGTAATGATGATGATGATAATAATGAGGATGATGGTAATGATGATTATGATTATGGTGATTAAGATAAGAATGATGATGAGGAGGATGAGGATGATGCGACTGATGAGGAGAAGGAAGATGATGAGGTAGATGACGATTGATGATGGATGATGATGAGGAAGAAAATGATGCTGATAAGGATGGTGAGGATAATGATAATAAGGAGAAGGATTAGGATGATGATGATTATGATTGATGATAATGGTCGTTGATGAGGGTGATCGTGATAATGATGAGGATGATTGATGAGAATGATGTTGATGAGGTTAATGATGACGAATAATGAGAAACACCCCGTCTGCCCCTCATCCTCATCTTCATTCTTGTCGTCCTCATCCTCTTCATTTTCATCCTCATGATGAGGATGATGATTGATAATGATGATTAATAAGGATGATGATGATGTGGTCGATGATGAGGATAAGGATGATGATGGATGATGATGATAGATGATGATTGTAATGAGGATGATGATGAGGATGATAATGAAAATGATGATGATAATGAGGACTATGATGATGAATGAGTGATGATGATAAATATAATAAGGATGAGGTTGATGATGATGAGAATAAGGATGATGATGGATGAGGATGATTAGTAGGATGAAGGTGATGATGTTAACAATGATTGGTGAGGATGGTGATGATGGTGACGATGATGGATGAGGATCAATGCCATGGCCAGGATTTTCAAACGGTGTGGGACAATATCATAGCGGACCCACTTTACGTGTAAATTCAAACAATGTGGACCCATTTTACGCAAAAATATGAAATATCTGGACCAATTTTCTTAAATTTTACCCATATATAACTAAATATAAGGTATCTGGATCCATTTTATGCATAAAATTACATAATTTGGACCCTTTTTTAAAATGTGGACCATTTTTTGTGGACCCATTGGAAAAATGGTGTGGGACTGTCCCAACT